TCCCTTTGTAAACCTCCTTGAGCAATGGCATCCATCTGAGTCATTCTGCTTTCCTTTAAATCAAAAACTACTCCCACAGTTATATGACAATTGTATTGATGCTCCAGGAGCTAGGCAATTTGGCAAAACAACTGTGAAATGAACAACAACAGAGAATAAAAGGAATGGTCCCAGTAGTTTTTTCTTCTGTCTTGTTTTATTAGTTTATCATTGTCTTTTTCCCCTCCTTTCACCACATGCCTGCTTCTTTTACCAAAGCAAATGTCTGGTAGCCAATTGTCAGTATTTAGTTTCTAAAACCATAATGTGGATTTTTTTTAGCTTTTTCCTTTTCCTCCTGATTTAGATGTCAAACACACTTAAAACATCCTTGCATTGCCCTTAAACATACTACAGCATGACTCATCAAGAGTTAAATCCCTGCCAACCTTAATTTCCCATGGTCACTTGTTTTCAAAGATCCACCATTAACTCTCTCATTGCTCAGGTTGCCAAGATGAAGTTTCAGGCAATCACTGTGCTCACTTGCTACTTGTCTTCCTGGCTGGTGGGAGATGAGAGAGATTTGGTATGTTAAATGAGAAAGAAAAGGAAGTAAAAACAAGAAGGGAGCCTTTGTAGTGGATGTACGCTGCACATATCTAGTAAGATACCTCTTTACTTTCTAGGAAAAAGGAATTGAGTAGATATGTTCAGGACCATCTGGAGAAGTGATAATATTAGAAAAATAGGGTATGCTAGATTTTCCTCTAAACCAAACTGATTTAGAATCCTTGTGGGGGAAGAAAATGTGAGAACTCTGTAAATCTCAGCAGTCACTTAGAAATTATCCTCAAGAAACATCCAGTCAGAGGTACTTTTGTTTCTGTTAAATGTATGCAATATAGCTAAAATACTTTTAAAAGTTGATGCATAACTCTTCAGTAACTTGATAACACAAGTCAAGCATGTCATTTTTGTCAGGAAATGTTAAAAAAATCATTTGATCTTTCATTCAGGATTTGTGGTAAAATATAGTCTTCAGAACAACCTATGTGAATCATACACACATACAAAAATAGGTTTGGGGTTTTAAACAAATGACAAATGTTCCATCATTCAATGTAATGGGTTTTTCCAAGACACTGTGAACTTCACTTTACTGGAAATCAAAGACATGTGTAAGTCTCAATGCTATGGTAATCCTGTGAATCCAAAGGTTAAATCGATTATTTTAACCTTCCCTCTGTAGGGTGGAATTCGTAAATAGACCTTAAAAAAAGAGTGGACATTTAAAGTTTTTATTTTCATATTCCAGGAAGTGTTTTTTTTATTCTTTTCCAGAATCAAGTTATTTAACCACTGTAAAAATGGATTAACAGTTAATTCAAAACTCTCATCTAAATTTTCTTGTAACTGCTTGACAATTTATTTAGTCAAAAGTTTCAAGTAAAATTTCTGATTTTTTTCTTTACATTTTGCTCAATTTACGTAAGTGATAGTTTAGTAAATTTTACTTCTGGTATGTATATGTATATATTTAGTCACATATAGTATTACACATGAAGCTTAAGTACATATCTTCATATTGTGCTTTGTAGTTGAGCAAACAGATTGCCAGAAATTATAGTAAAATTCTTTGCAAAAAAGTAATACTGGCTTAAAATAACATTCATATTTTGAATTATATATATCATATAATAGAATGGGCCCATCTTTTAAGTCTTAAGAAGAGGTCTCAAGACTATTTAAAGTATTCCTATACTAGTATATAATGAAATTTTCTTATACTAAAAATTTCTGACAGTTTCAATAGCACTTATGTAGGAAAATTCATGCACACACATATGACACCACACAAATGCACATAGCAATACAGTTATAGATTTGTTACTATGCCCTTCACAGCATATATCCTGTCAGATATTTAACTTGCTTATACTTATTTAATACTCACATTTTACCAGTTTTATTGGGTTTTTCACTCTTAATGAAAACTAACAGTTTTTATTCACCTGTTTAACAAGTAGGGTTGGCAAGTACACATAGTACAAAATACTGAAGTCTAAGCATGAAATAAAATAGTTGCATTTCTTATGATTCAACTCCCATCAATCAAATGAGAGCTACTGAAAGCCACCAACCTGTTTCCCCTGTTGAAGCTGCCAATCAATTGACATTTGAAGTAATAATATATCCAGAAAAGACTAACAACTAGAGAAGATAGCCAGGACCATCTAACCATTCCATATAAGCTTTAGCCCAAACAAACCTTAAGTTTTATAATGATATTCAGTCACCACCGGCTCAAAGAAATCTGAGAAAGTAAGAAATAAATTTCCAAAATTCTAATCTTAATGTTGCTTTTCCACTTGATTTAAAAACCAATCAATGGTATAAAATACACAGATAATTAGTGAATTGACAAGATATATAAATCTATAATTCTCTTTGTCTTCTAATTTTAAATTACTACACATAAGCCAAACAATGTAACTGATAAATATGTTATGATTTGGAATCAGTTATAATTAAGTATACTATTCTGGATTTCATTGAATGAAAATATTTTTCAAAAGAAATTTAATTAGATTTAATATGGTTATATATGTCCCTATTGACAGAATAAATTTGTTGAACGATTGGTTATACTGGATGCTCTTTAGGGGGAATTCACAAATTTCATTAAGGACTAAGGTTTTCATCACATTTTCGGATGTGTGCATCAAGAAACATGTATGTCATATTTAAAATGCCCATAGTAGATTATAGATATGGTTTAACTCTAATGTGCTCACTTAAACATGAATGATACATATCGAAAATTAAATGTCACATATCTCCATCTCTTGAAGAGCTTTGAAAATCTGAAGTCAGCACCACGGTTAATAAGATTTATGAATTATTCCAAGGATTCCAAATATTTCAAATGTTCTAAATATTCCTGTGACTAATATTACAATAAATTTTGTATTGAGAATTGTCTAACAAGCTTTTCTTTACAAAGTTCTGATATTATATCTAGAC